GATAGTCAACATGGTTTCACTATGGGAAAATCTTGCCTTATAAATCTTTTGACAATCTTTGAAAAGGTTACTGCTTATGTAGATAAGGGTAAGAGTGTAGATTTGGCGTATCTGGATTTTCAGAAAGCTTTTGAAAAAATGACACACAAAAGGCTTGAAAAAAATTATCTCTATAGGTGTGGGTGATAAGTTAGCTAATTGGATAGAAGAGTGGCTGGATGGAAGAAAGCAGAGGGTTATTACAAACTGAGTTCAGTCAAACTGGATTAATGTAGCAAGTGGGATACCTCAGGGCTCAGTCTTAGGACCTTTGCTCTTTTGGATTTACATCAATGACAAAGAAGAAAGAAGAGTCAATAAATTACTTAACTTTGCAGATGATATTACGGTCTTGGGTGTTGTTAGCAGTGAAGAGGATGCTGCTAATTTACAAAAGGATTTAGATCATTTGGCGAGCTGGGAAAATAAATGGCAGATGGGTTTTAATTATAACAAATGCAAGATAATGCATGTGGGCTACCATGATTTAAATTATAAGTATAATTTGGATGGGAATAACTTTAACATTGCTATGAAGGAAAAGGATCTTGGTGTAATAATCGATCAGTCTCTAAAGCCATCCAAGCAATGTGCTGTTGCTAGTGGTAAGGCAAATAAGATTTTAGATTGTATCTACAAAAATATTGAATACAAGTCTAAGTGGTTATAATTTCATTGTATAAGTTACTGGTTAGATCACATTTGGAATATTGTGTTCGGTCTTGGGCTCCTTACCTTACGAAAAACATTGAATTGTTGTAAAGGGTTCAGAGAAGAGTTACTAGAATGGTGCCTGGGAAGGAGGGGTTGTCAATACGAGGAGAGGTTGAAATCTCTCTCTTTTTTTTTCAAGAAAAAAAAAAAGAAGAGTTAGGGGGGATCTGATTGAGATGTTTAAGATTGTAAAGGGAATTGATAGTGTTGATGCGTCATCTTTTTTCATACTTAACAGTGAAAATAGTAGGACTAGGGGACACAATTATAAAATTTGGCAGGGTAGGAGTCATCTTCTGTTAAGACAATTATATTCTTCTAACAGGGTGGTTGGCCTTTGGAATGGGTTGCCTTCCGATGTTGTGGAGACATAAATTTAAGTGAAATTAAGAAAAAGCTTGATAAGCATATGAATGATAATAAGGGCTGGCTTTAAGATTTTTTTTTTAAATATATTTGTTAATAGTTCAGTTTAAAGAATGGAACAGCCAAGATGGACTAATAGGTCCCATGTTGTCCCAAAACGTTATGTTATATGATTTAAATTCATCGAATCTGCTGTATGATTTAAATTCAGTCCAATTTCCTATATTACTTACTTTCTGGAACACACTTGTAACCATCTCCACTGAAACCACTATTGCACTCACACACATACTCCCCATACTGGTACACACAGAGGGCATTTTCGTCACAGTTGTTAGCCACATCACATGTACTGGGAGACTCTTCTTCAATGCAAACAACACCATCACCTGTGTATCCAGGGTTACATTGACACTGGAATTTCTGTGCAGTGGGATTGAAGTTACAGGAGGCATGGGAGTCGCAGTAGTTCACGATTCGACAGTCCTCACCAATGCCACCCACATGCTGGCAAACATAACCATCTCCTTCAAAGCCAGCCTTACATCGACAAACAGGGATGCCATTGGGCCCAAGATCACATTCAGCATTAGCATCACAATTTAGGTCATTACAGGTCAAGGTTCCTGAAGTAAAAATAATGTTTCATCATCCACTACCTTAAGTTTTTTATATAACCTACTACCTGAAAGTATCATCCAACTCACAACATTTCTTAAATAATCCACTGAAAAAAAGGTAACTGCTATATTTTAGTCCAAAGAATACAGTAAAGAATATTTTACATATTATATCAAACAACACTGAAGAAAGCTTCTGTTTTACTTCTAAAGACTAATCCAAATAGTTTTTTGTTTCAAGTATTACATACAAGAATGGTTTTTGTTATCTAAAGCAATAGTTTTATTTTTCTTCTTAACTCACTAAAGTTAACATTTTCCTAAACTGAAAATGTATTTCCAATAGATATTTATCTCCTCTCACAAAATAGCTTTCTCAACTTGTACTGCCCTCTATTGGTACAAATTTTCGATTGCCACTAGCCTTGCTACTCCCACTGCATACTAACATGAAATGATCATGCATCAACTTTCCACCAATAGGAGTGCAGCACTACCCCTATCATACCCAGAGCCCTCTCTAATCATGCACATGATAATCATTTCGAGATTGGTCATAACTAACCAAAAAAATCACATCAGAAGTAGGAAAGGTGGGTGGAAAATGTGAGAGAGGGTAAGCATCTGTTTGAAATACATTTTCAGTTTAGGAAAATGTTAACTTCTGATTTATCTTACCTTCTCTCACAAAAAGCCATAATCCCACATTGTACTGGTGGAGGACCAGTGAGAAGATTATCCCCTTTAGGAAAGACCATAAGGTGTGAGAAGGAATTAAAAACAACATACCAGTGAGAGTCCATACCACTTCTGTGGTTCTTTGCCTTTTAGTAATGTGTCACCAAAATGCAAAGGGTGGGTAGTTGGAGGGGTCCCAAAAAAGTACAAAAATAATGGGACCCCTGTTGTAGAGTGGCTAGGGTGGAACAGACCATAAATGGGAGTTCAACCTCAAACAACACATGGCAGCATCTGAAATTTTACATCAGGTCCATGTAGGAAGAGGGTCTTCTACCTTTCACCTCAAAAACTGGTACTGGTAGGGAAGAGGGGGGCTCCTGTACCAAGAACCCGCCTCCACATGTTAGATTAACAACTTCTAATATAAAGAAAAGCCAATGTATTTTGGTAACACTACATTCCAACAATGGTTTTTACGTCACATCGCTTAGCTACAAAAGTATAACCTAATATTATTGTTAGTCTATGTACTGAAAGTATAAAATGAAATGTATAGACAACAAGACTGGAAAAATATTTGTGGATTTCTTAGAGTTTCCATTGATTAAAGAGGTTTTTTTTTTATCAGAAATGTTTGTGATACACAGTAATGTGCAAAAGTGTTAGGACAAGAGAATATTTATTGATTCTTTCCATTTTATGGGACTAATTTTTCCATGCCATTACAGAATGTAAGTTTCAACACTATGGTAGTATTTCACTGATCCCTGTTGACAATTGAATGAAACAGGGTGAG